AGAAGAAAAGGACACCGGCAACCGAAGTTGCAACGCTGGCGGCTTTGTCGGAATCTCGCTTTTCAATACGTCGTCGAGCGTCTGGTCCGACATCTCCCTTCTCGACTTGGCCGTTTTAATGTCCCATTTTCGTGAATGCGCCTAGTCTCCACGCGATTCCTTGTCTCCGGTTGGCTCTACTCGCGCCTCTGGGCCCTAAGTGTCCCGCGTGGATCTCTTTGGGGAGGCTTCGAGCTATTTGGACGGTGCGATAAGTCTCGCCAATACGCCTTTTGCGTCGGTAAAACCGTTTATACCTCTTGTGGACTAAAAAGGCCTTCCTCGCACTACAATCTCTCGTGACCAGTGGATCTCCGAATACACAGATCGTGTATTACGGTCTTCGAGTGTCGCGGAGTTGGACGTCAATTTTTTGTACCGCCACACTTCTATCCTAAATGGCATATCTTTCCGACGGTACTTGTGCCAAAAAACCCTCCTCCCACATCCGCGTGGGAACCTCAGCTGACGTGTTCGGCCCAGATCACGGCCTTATACGCCCAGGGAGACTGCTGCACGCCGGATCGCACCGATATTTTTACTCGTACAGGGTGGTACGACCAACTCGCCACCCTGTATTTGGAGTTCGAGGATCGATACCGACAGGCGCTGTGAGAATTGACCTATGCAATCTCTTTTCCGGAGAACAGCGGGCCAGAGATCCTGAGCTGGATATAATCTGGAAACAGCGGAAAAAATTCGATCGCGAGCTGGTCTCCGGTGTTTGACGATCCTTCGATTCATCTTGCAGGGTATGATTGCAGATCACTGCGATCTGGACATTCTGTTAGACCCATTCTTCCTGCACTTCTCCTCCCACCTGGAAGTGACACCATGGTATCATGGTTTGGAATGTAAACGAAAGAAAATTCCCAACTTTATATCGTCTCTGCCGCAGCTGGATGTAGCTGAGCCTTGACGTATTCAGTGTAGATATATCTCCGACTACCCCGGGTCGTCGATCGCACGTCTGCCTGGCGAGTTCTCTCCCATGTGATCGTTAGAGTTCGAGTCACGTAGTTTCATAATTCAGTATATTTTCTTCGATCCTTCATCTTATTCTCTGTCTTGAAATAGCTTCTTTTCTTCGGCTTTTCGGCCGCGATCAGACCATTATAATTCGCTATAGCCACACAATTCACATATATCCCCAGTTCCACCATCTTGTGCAACTTCCTTGCAAGTATACCTATCCACTTGCATGTGCTACCTCCTAGCACATCTTTTAACCCCGTCCATTGGCATATGCTGCCTCCTAGCATATTCACCCAGACCATTCAGGGTCCTCTGATCTGTCTTCGTGTGACTGCATTACTTCAAAATGTTTCGAATCACTCGGTTTTGCTCAAACGCTTGAAAATTGCCCCACACTTTAGATCGGCTTCATCCAACCAACTCAGATCGGGATAACCTTTTCACATCACCAAGAACTGTCGATGTACTCACCCATGACAGGTTTTACGACCGGATCGAACGTCCATTATTCCCTCCACTTCATATCCTTCCTCTTCAAGATCACCTTCCCAACTATCTTTTGGTAGCAGAGCCTCGGTAATTCCAAGCGATTTGCTTCGTTCTTCGTAATCTGGTCTTTCGGCCGCTCGGAATACATATTTACTCTCTTTAGCTTCGACAGATGTACAATTGGGAATAGTCGATACAGATTTTCTGCCATCTCCAATCTCACAGCGTGATCTCCACATATATCCGCAGCTCGAAACGGACCATGCCACACATGAGCCAGCTTCTTCGCATATCCTTTTTTGACTCGGTCTAAGTTTAGTCAAACTCGTGTATCACTTCGATCTCGAGTGATTCTAGATCTTCGTTATGTGAATACGCTCTTCCCTGGATCGCAGCTCGTAATCTATCTTTTCCACAGCCCGTGCTCGCTGATTTGGTCTCATAATTCGATAGCTCCATCTCTTCGGATCGCGATCTTGAGTTCTCATATTCCGTACTAGTAGCGCAGCCTCCAACGTAGATCGAGAATCTTACCCATGGATCATATATGATAAAATATCCCCCCGGATCCGATCTTGTACACTTTTAATCGCAAACGTGAGCCGTTCAGCATTTTAACCTCAGTCCTGTTGATTGATGTCAGCGTCATACATCTTGAACGACCGCGTCAGAGTTTGTACCATATGTTCGGCCGTTCTATTTGCCTGTGGCCTATATGCAATTGTGGCACGTTGTCTCTGTACCACGATCCGGCTGAAATCTCGGAAAAAGTCGGACATAAACCCAAATTCTCGATCATGCCTGATAGCCTCACTGGCGCTGAAACGCCGGAACACACATTCTTCGTGATTTTCTGCAATCATTTGTGCTGTTCGTGACGAGCTAGCTTTCACGATCACATTTACCGAAAAAAGGTTCACCCAAACCAGCAACTCCGTGTTTCCTTTGACGGGCTTGGGCAACAATGGTGTTTGGTCCATAGCAATAACCTGGAATGGATCAGTTGCCTGTAGGCTACCCGGAGATCTTCCCTGGATCGTCGGACATCCTTTTCCCATTTCGCAATCAGTGCACTTGCCTACATATCGTTGCACACTCCGGTACAACCCTATCCAATGAAATCTCGATCTGATTTTTTAATACGTTCTGCCAATACCTTGGTGGCCTCCTTCCAGACTAGCGTGATAATGGTGCAGAAAGTCTTCTACAACGTTTCTGGGATCAGTAGACGCATTAGACCATCCTTATCTACTGATTCTCTCTTCGCTATAGCGCAGAAAAAAGACAGGCCTATCTGATCAATCTCATACTCTGGCGCTAGTTTTGCACACCTCATTGACTCTCCTGCGTCCGGACCGAATGCATCGCCATTCAGACACTTCTTCAGATTGAAGATTTAACATTCTTCGCCCTGAGCCTGACCAATCCGCCGAGTCCTCATCTTCTGCGCTATCTCCTCCTGTAACACTTCAGCTTGAGGGTGTCTCCTCTCGGCTGATCTCGTAATCGCGGTTATTCCTACAATTAAATCGCTCGGCTTAGGCAGAAGCAATTCACCTTTACGGTTTAACGTAATCAGATCTCGGCGATCTTCTTTACTCACCACAAATATTTCTTTTTCATTTTGCTAGACTGTACTAGATAGTCGATTCGCACTCTGATTAAATTCTCGCTTCATTTGTAGGAGCTCGTGCTTCGGCCATGATCGAAGTTTCTGCATTGTCTTGTGACGCAACACCTGTAATTCGGGCGCTTTACAATCCATCTCACCCCGCATTTTCCAAATCACTAAGTTTGAGTCACCACATGTAATGACTCGTCCACTAGTCTAATAAACTAACAGATTTAAACTCAGTAGCATGCCGCGATATTCGGCTGCAATCAACGTCAGATCCGCCGTGTATTCAAAATTAGCCGCGATAATTGTCCATTATGGCAGTCTTCATACGATCGCGATGTATTACTCACTCTTCCATTCATTCGCGCTAATATGTTGAAATTAAAAACCAGAAGGTTATAATCCGGTTCCACCGTGAGGGTTGGCATAGTAAATAATTTAGGTTGCTTCTGTGGAGCAATCGAGATCAACATATCATCTTCGTCTTCTCGAGGAGTCATGCTAGCCGCGAGTGCGCCGAGTATTTATCTTCCCTTTTTTCGCATCTCCTGACATCCAGTGTGTAATTTGATAGTAGCGCGGCCCACCTTCCGAGTCCCCGTTGAGGCCAGGAGAATGAACTAGCCAGGCTAATGTCGAATTTCGAGTCATCACCCTGATCTCTCGGGATACTATCATAGTATAACACACCTCAAAAATTCGAAGTAGAACTAATACTTCTTTCCTTACCATGCCATATTTGATCTCGTTGGGCTTCAGTGTGCGACTCGTGAATGTCACTGGCCAAAATACGCCATCATATTCCTGCAACAGGGAGGGCTATACTGCCCGCTTACTAGTATAACCACGATCACTAGAAGTCGATCTGGATCGTAATTCTTGAGTATCAAGGTGCCCGCTATCTTAGCCTTCAACAGGGTGAATGCTGTAGTGGTTTTTTTCCCACCGAGATCGTTCCTTCAAATCAATATCATCTCCTCGTAGGGTTCAATCGCAGCCTCCTGTAATTGCCTCCTGATCCTTCATATGACTAATATCGATAAAAACGCCTTATGTAGCTCGTACAATACCGATGCGTATACTGCAAAATCTATTATGAAGCGAATATAATAGTTCAGGCTACCCGGAAATGATTGCGTGGAACGCAACGTTGTGGGGAAAGGGATTTTGACTAGCAATCCTAGATCCTTTGGGTCGGCCTCCAACCCGGCAAAAGATACCTGATGGTCCAGGTAGTCCACCTTACGCCGTCCTTAAAAGCTTTTAGTCAAGCTAATCGACAAATTCCATCGATCGCATACCGCCAGTAGTCGCTCGACCTGGTTATGCAAGGAAGTCCATGACGTAGCTGGGATCAATGTACCATCAATGTAGGATCGTCTGCCTAGCACTGACAGTTTCAGATCGAGTTCTGTTCTCCTTCAGTGAAAACATCGGTCAACTTAGAGAAATCGGTTGTGTGCACATCCTTATTGTGTCAATCTTAAGGTACTCTTATAAAGGGTTATCAAGTAATCGCTTATAGATTTGTGGGGGTATTCTTTAGTCCGAAAGGCAATATCAACCATTCAAATAGGCCTGACGGTGAGATAAAAGATGAGATAAACTTCGCTCGCTCGGTGATCTCTACCACCCAAATTACACTCGCCATTTCCTACGAGCAGTACCTCATTACTTTGTCGATATTCTGCAACAAGTCAATGGCAAGCGGCATAGGATAAATCATCAACCGTGTTAGCTAATTCATTCGTCGATAGCTGATACATAGTCGGATATCTTTTCCATTTTTCTTAATCATCATGACTATTGGTGATGCCCACGGCGATGTCGAAGGTTGGATGATCTTGGCTGACGACAGGCCTTTTATCAGATCGGCCAACTATTCACGAAACTTTGGCGCAAGAGGTCGTGCATGCTGAGCGGTCGGCCTCGCCTCTCCCACGTCCATATCACAAACGGCCCCGCGTGCTGCAGGGGGTAATGCATTTCCGTTCCCGATCAACAGGTGACGACTCTTCCATAGCAGTTGTCGCAAATCCTCTTGATCCTCTGTCAAGGTTATTCCAGGATCACCAACCTGGATATCGTCCATTGTCATCTCGGTCGTGGGTATGGTTACTTCCGGCAGTACAGCCATGTGTTGTTTCACATCTTCCGCGAACAGTTCACCTCCCTCTTGGTAGTGTGTTGATTCATCCGGTATATCATTTTCAATTACTTCGCCGTCGATCGTAATAGCTTTTACGTCGTCATCCAGTCGCGTAGACTGGCCATACACCTCCCGATCTTCAACCATGATCCCGCCTGGGTGACATTTGGACTGTCCTTGAAGCGGATCAGTTATCTCATGGTTGTCTTTCGGTGTCATGGCCTCCTCTGCAACCATGTCCTCTAAACCGAATGTTCTGGCGTCTTCCGCACTGCGTTGACCGCACACGATCTCATTGTCGATTTATCATCCTTGTCTTCGTTATTCTTCCCACTCTTACATTCGTCCTGCAACTCCTCATTAGAGTCACCATTAGAGTCGGATAGCGAGGCGATCTCCACAGAATCCTTGACGTCGTCTGATTCTTGTTTTGATCATGTTAAGATTCCGGTAGTTTTCTTATACGTAAAATGATCCACTAACGGTCCCGTGTATGCTTCAACTTCTTCTTCCTCTCGATCTGTAGTGGTTTCAGGACCAATGTCTACTATCCCATATGCCGCCGCGATCCGACGGATACGTAACCTTTAGATTGCGGTGTTATGTCTTTTTTCATCCACAACGCTGTAGGGGACCCATAATTTTAAGATCAAATTACGATCGCTTATGTTCGGCTACAGGAACCTAATCCTTCCGGGCCCATTCTTACGGTAGGAATCCACGTCACATCTCGTCTCACCTAAATCTTAGACTTAGGAGGATTGAAGCCGATCCTGACTTTTGTCGATATACCGTCGGGTATCGCAATGTGTTAATCGTTAAGGTTGATCGCCGATATTTTCGATCGATATGGTAATATCCGTCCAGCCAAACCGATCCAAGATTTATCTGGTAAACACAGGGATCCGTAGGCCAAATCCAAACGGATGCCTGCTGGAATTATGAAGTCCATCCCTAGCATGACTTTTTAAACAAACTGATCATTAACCCCGAAATCAAAATATTATACTAGTAATTTATATAGTGTGATCTTGATCTTAGTCCGACCCACCGTCATAAAGGAACTGTCTTTGATCACAACACATTCTTGCGTTTGGCTCTTGTCGATCACACATCCTCCCTTGCAAGCAAAGATTTTGTCGATGATCAATACATCAGCTCCATAATCAAACAGCATAGTGGCCTTCTTATTGATGATCTTGCCTACTGCTTTCGCTTGCTTAAACCACTTTTTTGGAGTATAATACTTTCAGTGTTCTTTTGACTCCCCTGAGACAAGATCGAGCTCCATCTTCGCAGGGGATCGGGCATAATTGTCCAATCGATTAACACTTGACAAAGAAGAAATAAATGGTGAGCGATCACATGTATTAGTGATCGGATCGTGCCGATCCTTAACTCCTTGATTCTTCCACCGTTTCTCAACAAATGCATACTTGCACAGCCTAGAACGCTCGGCTCGTGCCAGATTCCAACCTGCCGAGCGTCCTAGTTTAATACCTCCTCACCTTGGGAAGAGCATCCCCGCATGTTTAATAGGCACATACCACTTGCTATTTAGGTTATAGAATTCATCCATGAGTCACTTGCCATTCTCATGCACCTCTCCGAAAGCTGCACATACATCGCAACACTCGTCTGATGTAAGTCCTTTGCATCTAAATTTCTGGCACGTCAAATTTCGCCAACTTTCCATATCATCATGTCTGGTAGATCCACAATGGGTGCACGCCTTCGTATTTTCACTTCGATCACATCCATCTCTTTCATTAGTGTTTTTCTGCCAAGCACAATGATCCTTGTCCGGTTTTTTCTTGATCAGGCGCAGTAGTCACGCTAGCTCGGCGACGATCCTTGCCTCCATCGGATCCAATTGAGATTGATTTTGATCCGCTGCTTTCGATTCTCTCGCGAATAGCCCTCACTGCCCGGGCTGTCTTAGATGACATTGGATTTGAAAACGCGGTCGCCCGCTGATATAATCTATTCGATCGCGTCGAAGCTTTCATCTGACGAATGTTCATCTGTTGGCGTGCAAGAGGGGTTTCTTCCATTTCATCATTGTCCACCAATCGGAATTTTTTTTAGCTGTTTTGCTGGATCATGATCATCGAGCGTAGCGATGATATGTTCCACATGTTCGCGACGCGTTGCCGCGGTAGCCATTTTCTCTTCTTCAATCGCGATCTTAGCGTTTTTGGCCGCGACATTGAGACGGTGTGAATAATTTAGCGGGTTATCATCCGTCCGATACCGCGCTCGATAATATTGTCTGACCAGAAACACACCTTGCACTTCAAACATTACCATTAAAAAAACCAGCAATCGCTTCCATTTGTGTCGGGTAGATCGGCTCAGTTGGTTGTACCAGTTACTTGCAGGTTCCGTCAACAGATCGCCAAAAATCAAACATTTTGTTTTCATTGGGAGCTTGATCGCGCAGGAACGCCGACTTGACTTTGCTGATCCAGCTTCTGGTTCGATCTTTGTCTCGATCTTTGCCACTGAATTCCTTTGGATCTCTCAAAGCCTACACCCGAATATGAATGCGCTAAGGAATTGTACCACTTTCCTGCTGCGTCTCTGTGGTTGCCACAATCACACGTCGCCGCTCATCTAGCCCTCAGTCGTCGGGATCAGCACCTTCAGGGTCGAAGAATTCCGATCGACTGATGTGCAATCGCGTTAATTCCACTTTAACATCTGGGGTATGGGTTTCTCGGACTCTTACAGGATTGATCCGCTCAATTGGGTAGATCGCTTGACATGCCAGTTCCCGCTGATCTTGCTAAAAAAAGGTTCATGGCCTCATTGAGATATGTCTGCAGGTTTCCTCAACCTTGATCATCTCCACCCAATCGCGCAGATGTGCTTCTTACCTCGGACCTTAAGACATCCGCTGAACACCGACCAAATCGTCCGAATTCATATCGAATTCCGTCGAGGCTTAATACGACGATCCAGTATGGTACCCTATCGAGGCAACCGCGATCGCAGCAACGGCATGACCGTGTATTCGGGCGTACTCGTAAGGGGAACCACTTTGTTATTTGGCGATCAAAGGTACGCGTGGATCACCTGATCTTGGTCTTACTCCAGCACTTTGTCCGCATCGAACATTTCAGCTACGTATCCCGCATCCTGTAATAGCTGCATGGTCGCGTTGATCTCTTCGAGCGGGTAAATTACCGCATTCGGTAGGAATATTGGACCCTAAATCTCTCCAAGTAGCTTGGGCTTTTTTATCTTTAGCATGAGGTCACTCAATAGCAGATTCTTAAGCGCCTTTCAACGATATCTCTGCGCCAATTGATGCAGCTGCCAGCCTTCCATCTTCATATCTATAGCATCGTCTACGAAGTGAATCGGTTTGTCGATCGAATTCGCACTGTGATCGTGTTAATTTATCTAAACGCTTTTTTCTTCACTCCTTCCATCTTCGCAATCTTCTTCTTAGACATTGTCTAAGTAGTCTTGTACAGTTTTGTTTAGTTTTCGCTGAAGGGTTTTCAACCAGCGGATCGTACCATGCAGCAGCAATCCGCGGTGGTCTTCGAAGGGACCTCAGGAGGGATTAATGGTTAATTTCCAGATCTTAATGTCGATCTTCCTCTTTCATTTTCTTGTCATCCGAGCCCCTCCCAAAACTATGATAATCTGGGGATCCTTTAAATTCACACGTATGCGGATATCCCTTTGCCTATAACGCTTCCGTCTCCGATGTAGTCTTAAATTTTATCTCTTCACTCCGGGACTAACGGTAAAATCCCGAGTCACTAGAAGATTTGATTACGTTCATTATTGTGGTGAAGTAATGATCGCTAATTTCTTGAGATGAACACGACTCTCCACTAGCACCCAGACGACCGACTTACGGAGGGGATATTCTTTTTCGTTTACATCGCTTTCCTCACCTTTTGTACCGGTCGGTAGGGCGGATTGCACTCTTCCAGGTGGACTCGTCTCGAGAAAAAACTTGACCGTGTTGGGGATTAATTTGTGTGATCGGGCGAAAATTTTCGCGCGATCACCGGGGTATCGGTTGGATGCTAACAAAAGTTACCCCGATCTCAACGAGATCACCTTGAACACTGTGTGGGTTCTTGATGCGCGATCTTTCTGACCACGTGACCCGTTTCGCTATCTTTTGCTTCAAACAGTAAGGTTGTCTGCGCCCTATTGCAGTCGAGGGTTGCATAAGATTCTTGCGCTCCTGCTTAAATATCTTCAAGCATGATCTTCTGATCATTATTTGTGAAGTTCTCTGACACCTGGAGGCTAAATATCCTCTCTGGAAGAAGAACAACACAATGTGTTTAAAAGCACATCGAATTCTATATAATATTAACCAACCAGAAACTAAAACTGTTACAATGACTACCCTTTAGTCCAGGATATCCCGGCACGTGTCGCCTCCCAGATTTTCGAGTGAATTTGCAATCCTTTCATACCAGGTACCCACGCAGGATCCCTGCACCTTGATCGCGGCCCCATGATCGCGGCCCCCTGATCTTCCCTCAACATCTTTCCACAGTATGGGACGGCGCTGATAGAAAAGGTTCTGCCCGTTGGGTCATTCGACGGTGACGTCTATGTTAACGTCCTTCCCTTACAATAATTCAACTAGGCACCGCTTCGAACTTAAGAGGAAGCCGGGATTAATCTTCCCAATCTCGATCAATTTTTACCAAAGCGTAGTCATAGTCCAGCTGGGCCTCGAGCATAGTCTGGGGTCCATGCTTATATTGGATCCGCCAGCGCAGATGTTTGACCATCTCTACCTCATGACGTAACTACTCGCAGATTTGGTACACCAGGATAGAGCGATCGCGCAGCTCGTCCTCGATTCCTCCAGGTCGGGCCATTAAGTAATCGCCTGAAAGAGCAGTTGACGCGGCCACATCTGTAACGGGGTGAATCGTTACATAACAATTTATAAGAAATTGTTAATAGAATATAACTAGTAGAGTTATATTCTCAGAATATTGTCATAAGGACAAATACAGCACTTACGAGTAGTTCCTAATTGGTTGGTATAGGACATTATATCAACCAACGAAGACGCGCCACGACAGACGCACGCAATGAGTGGTGAGCAGATAGTTGATATGCACATTTACGTTCAAACATAGTTAGATGAGGATAAACAGGGGGTTTATTACAGACATTAACTATAATAAAAACAGTTCTACTTTTTACTTTAACCAAGTACTCGCTTCTTCTTACCGTCTTCCTCT